ACAGACCGCCATGACTTGCGGCAGACTACGCAGCAATCAGCATTTTCTCTAAAATAACCATCTGACTGAAGGATCATAAGAGACTCAATGCGAAGCTGTAGAGTTTTAACAATCCTGAAACAGCATCTGACTTCAGGTTAACATAAATGAGGCAACATTAATCTATCCAAAGTCAGAACTGAACTCAGTGATGTCGAGCTGTTTAGATACTGAGTGAGGAAGTCTAGCTGATTGTTCATAGATCAGATTTCAGATCAACTGGAGGTCCATCAGCCATGTGTTAACACAGAAAATCTTTATTTTCATTTCAGCATTTTCAATATTGCAAGGTCATATTTGCAGTATCGCTGTAAATGTGAATGAGGACGATCAGGTGTAAAATGTAAAACTGACACCAATATCTGTTATTGAACCAAACATGTTAGTCAATATCAATACTGAATCTCAGTTCGATTTGTTTTCCCTTTAACAGGCCGCTCCACCATTTTTACACGTGGCAGCCAGTTTACTCATTTGAGTACTATCAGCATGTTAACAGATAAGCTGCATTACAATACTCAGTGCACAGAGTTTGAAAGACTTTGGCATTTACCAGGCAGGGAGGGTCAAGTTTACTGGTAGCATTTTGGGAAATGTAGGATCTGGGATCTGAGATTTGGTCTGGGGGATTGGACAACAAATTAGGGTATCTCAGCTTCTGTTTCTGTCTCTTGGTTGGCCCCCACCTTGATGGAAGTGCTAAACTGCTGATGTGCCCTTTTAAGATCATGATGGTGATGTTGTTTGCTGATTTAAGTGAAAACAGATCACAAAAAAGCAATTCCACAATTGGGCAAATACTGGCAAAAAAGTTATTCAGAAATTTAGGCTGATATCAGTTGACACCGAGAGGATACTAATATACAGTACTAGTAAAGAAGGAGGTAAAGTGAAGGTGGTTTTCAGGAGAACAGGATATGTTACACCCTGTTAAACCACTTCTTTTCATTTTTAGAAGGTCATTCTAAAATGGAAAGATTATTTTATCCAAATTACAAACACGTACACTCGTGATATCTGCCAAGGCAGTGAAGATGCAGTAGTTTGGGCTTTACTTCGCTGCCACCTTGATACAATACACACCAGACAAACAAAATAAACCAAAAAAACACGGATTTTCTCCAATATACCCTTGAGCTAGGCATTTATCTGCAGCTTTACTTTAGATGAAGTGCTTTCTGATCAAGAGCACAAAGTTTTTCTTTAACCAAAGTTTCTTTTCCTGGTAACATCCCCTCTCCTCTCCGCCTGATTGTCATTCTCTCTACTCATAAAAGTCTGCTATTGCATCTACCACAGCGGGCTGAATGCTATGTCCATTTAACGGCAGCAAAACAATGGAAAAGCCAAAGTGAGTCTCCACAGCTTAAAGTGATTAGATGAGTTTCTCACTAATCCCCACCTTGAGCAGGTAAGAGAACGCTCCCAGGGCTAGCAATCGATTTTATCCACACAAACACACACACACCCGAAACAAAACCCCTTCAGCAATCACCTCATCAAAACAATTCAGGAGACCTCAGCTCATTTTAATTCCACCTCTTTTTTTTAGTTTCACACAAAATGGCAATTACGTCCAGCGTCTTAACGAAGCCGCCAAACGATGGGACCATTAAGGAAGCTGACACAAACAGATCGATTGGACATACAACCGACAGGTAGAGGAATGAGGGGGAGAAAAAAAAATCTTTACACAAGGCAACAGGCAAAAAAAAACGGAAGGGGTAAAAAAAAAAAAAAAAAAAAAAAAAAAAAAAAAGAAAGAACAGAAAACAGTGAACCAGCGCACACAAACAAACAAACAAGCCGTGGTTTGTCCAGGCAGCTGTGACGGTTGTATTCTAAATGGGCTATTACAGCACAAACAAGCAGGGCGCTCACTGATTGTAGGCCCTCGGGGATTGAAGTCACCTGAAAGGCTGTGAGTCCCAGTGAGGCAGAGATACCTGCACGAAGCTCCCTGGGGAGAATTTATTTTTAAAATCTTGATCGATAATTACTGATTTTTTGCACAGGACCCTGTTCTCATGTGGCGCGTTTATTGCAATGACAAATAAGTCTGCGATGGGCAGTGGCGGGAGATTGGACAAGAGAACACAGAGTGCCACTAAAATTCTGGCAAACTCATGAGAAGATTCTCGTTTTCTCATTAGAGCCGTGACTTAACTTGGTGACACGTCTGCTTATTAGTTCAAACAACTTCCATCTCAAAGAAAAACGTACACTACTTTTTTTTTTGTAAAGAGGGAAACGTGTATCCATTTGTTTAAATAATAACTAACTGTATTAGTAACTTTTGTTATTGTTTGTGATGTTAAAGCAACATTATGCAATTATTTTACCTTAAAATAACAGCTTCAAAATTATGTTGATGTTACATTGACTTGTAATAGGTCAGTGAATAGTGCCTCGTTCATACCCACTCCATCATTTAACTTGGGTTGAGCGGGTATGATCTCCCGAGGGAAGTGCGCTGCACTTTATGGCACTACGTCACACACCACAAACTATGGGTCTTCAGCCAGCTATAAGAACAAGCTAGCTCTGTATTCTCAGGTACAGACATCATGGCAGAGTTGAAGAGACTGAAGAGGAAGCTAAAATAGAATGAATTAACTTTATAAAGCATCTTTCAGGCACAGAATACAGCTCAAAGTGCTTTACATTTATTAAGTAAAGTTTAAAACCATAACATACACAAGGAGGGAGAAAATAAGAGTTCCTATTTAAAACAGCATTAACACAGTTTCTTTAGAAAGATAAAACAGACAGCTGCTAGATGTAGGCTAAAGATACGTTTTGAGTTGTCGATTAAAGGTGTCCACTGAGTAAGCAAGTCTAACATTTAAAAGGCAGACTGTCTCATATTTTTAGGGCGTAGCAGCTAAAAGTAGCATCCCCAAAGGTTTTTGTGGTAACCTTTGGAATAGTTAACAGAGTAGCTGCGGAGGATCATAGGGTTTGTGGAGGATCACAAAACAATATGGGGCAAGGCCATTTGGTGCCTTAAAATCAAGAGGAAGATTTTAAAAGATATTCAGAAAGAGACTGGGAGCCAGTGTAGATGGTATAAAACATGAGTTTAGTTTTCGTTAACCCCTGGCAGCAGCACGATGAATGGTCAGTAGTTTTGCAACGGCTGCTTTTGGCTGGCGTGAACAATCTTTTCAGCATGTGGCTGGCTTAGAGTTCTCACCTTCGCTATATTGTGTGCAAATGATGAAAGCCAGTTTGGTCAACAAATTAAACCGCACAGTAAAACTGAAGGTCAGAATCTTAAATTACCCCAAGGCTTCTTATTTGCTGTCATGTCTGCGAGTCCAGGCACAGACACAAAACTGTAGGGGCGCCAAGTTGCACCAGCAATAGGGCTTGCCTTTTAGATCTTGTTCGTTTCATGTTCACACTGACTTTACACTTTTCAACAAACCACAGGCAGTAAGCATTAAGTCATCCGGATTGCCAGGTAACTCACTCATTGTTTGATCAGTTTTGATTGTTACCTTGTATCGTCAGTATTGTGTGGACCAATATAGGTAAAGCAAATTCTGGTGCTTATGTGTTTATATTATCTGGTGTCAATAAAAACCTCTCAAAGAAATAGCGCATAGACTTTCAAGGCATTTTCAAACCTGTGTTTAGTCCTGTTGAATTATGGGGTGAACAAATCCACCTAACCTGTTTGGTTTTGTGGAGTTGTGGCATACTAGGTCCGTTTTCAGAACCCTAAGAATGCCAAACGAGGCTGCCTGAAAAGGTGCGTCTCAGTCTCAGTCCGCTTCCAAGTGGACTGGTGCAGTTTGTTTTATGACAGTAGAAAGACATTCCCACTACCATAAACTACAAATAAACCCATGTGCTCATTGTGAATAGATCTTAAAAGGGATCTGTCCAAGCAGTTTGTGTGAGTGCACATGACAAACACTTCCCTGATGAATCAGAAATTGAGTTAACCACAGGTGTGTTGTACTAGTGTACTTTGTCAGTTCCTCATTAAAAGGTCAGTGAAACATACCACAACTAACAGGACGGGACGAAGCAAAACAAACTACAGGTGTGAAAGTGAGCCTTGTGAAGAAGAACAATTACCTTGCTCAAAATCATTAGCAAGATTCTTCTGTTGATAATTAGTTCTTTGTTGCTCACTTGACCTTTGTTTTGTTTGATTTTATATTTGCATATTTTACTGTTAAGAGGGGGGGGGGGGCAGATAAGTTTCAAAGTTTTGTTGTTTTAAAGCCTTGAAACCATTCTGGTTTGAATTAATCCTCCAACCCTCCAGGTAGAAAGAAAAGCCATAAAAAGGCCAATCTGAGAGGACTATGTGAATATTCTTTCACCACAACTACCCAAAACTCTTATCGCACAATGAGACTCTTAATACCTTACATGTATAAGAGCAGATTAAACAAAATGCTTGCCCTCGCCTTTTAGCTGTGAATATGGATGCTTTATGAGATGTGATTATTGAGATTAGAATACAGTGTGGCAAGAGGCTTAGTGTTTGTGAAGGGCATTCCCTCAACTATATGGTTAAAATGAGATGATAATGTGGTGAGATTTGTTTCAGGAAGGAATATGAATGAACTCTTGACATCCCGCTGCTTGTACACTGACACTGTAATACACCTCCGGTAAGATATAACCTGTTGAATACATCATTCTGAGGGGTCTGTATTCAAGGAGACGCTCTTTCACTTAAGATTTGTTTTTGTAGATGATGAAAAAAGGGATAAGAACTCTGTTAAGGTAAGAGCATGAGAGATCAAATGGAAAGAGTGCACTTTTCTCTCTCATACAAACACACATAAAAAGACACATCACACACATTGTAGCATGAAGAGCTCTTTGTTGTGGGAGAAGGGGGAAAGAAAAGACACACTCAGACAAAGATATAAGTGGATATGCAAAATACACACTAAGCATTCACATTTGAGTACCAGAAGAGACATGAGACGTACCAGAAGTTCTTGAAGGGTGTGTTTATTTCAAAGCCCCGGCGGTCCATGTCTCTAATATTGGCAGCAGTCAGTTCCACTTCAGCAATAGCCAGACCCGCTCTATAGTCCTGCAAAAACGCAAACGGAGAGATGGTTACTTTTATGTTGGATTTCTACTAGAAAATGTTTACATCAGAATCAGAATCATTAAGAGCTTTATTGCCAAGTAGTTTTTTCCACGTATGAGGAATTTTCTCTGAAAATAAGGTGCTACAGGTAGACACACATATAGTTGACATAAATAAATGTACGCATATATAAATGACAAAATATAACAACAATGGTGTTATAATAACAATGACAAAAATATAGAAGCATATCAATTAACAACAAATAAGTGGGGGGGGGGGACTGAAACAGTTTGTGACTGGGATGGGAGGAGTCAGCTGCAATCTTTATCTTTCCTGCACACCTCAGAGTCCTGGAGGTTTACAGGTCCTGAAGAGACTAAAGATTGCAGCCAATCACCTTTTCTGCAGAGCGGATGATACGCTGCAGCCTGCCCTTGTCCCTGGCAGTGGCAGCAGCATACCAAATGGTGATGGAGGATGTGAGGATGGACTCAGTGATTGCAGTGTAGAAGTGCACCATCATTGTCTTTGGCAGGCTGAATTTCTTCAGCTGCCGCAGGAAGTATATCCTCTGCTGGGCCTTCTTGGTGAGGGAGGTGATGGTCAGCTCCCACTTGAGGTTCTCGGAGAAGCGGAAGGAGTCCACAGCGGCGACTGTGGAGTCACACAAGATGATGGGGGAAGGTGGGGCTGGGCTCTTTCTGAAGTCCACTGCCATCTCCACTGTCTTCAGTTGTGGCTGCACCAGGTCACCAGATGGTCAATCTCCCACATGTAGGCAGACTCATCCCAGTCTGAACACTCCAGCTTAGCTCCTGTCTCTTTAAGGCCCCTCTCCCTAAAAGCCCACTTCCTTTTGATTGGCCATCTTCCCGGAAGCTACATGGCAGAAACCAATGCTTGCGGCCTGCACTGCTTCATCCTCTTGCCAGTGTGGTCGACAGCTATGACAGCTACAGTAACTAAGCTTGGAACATAGCAATATAGGCCACGGAATTTGATAAATTTACTGTTATCAAACCACAAAAAAGACAAGAATTAGGTTGGAAAAATGTTAAGACACCACTGGAGTGGAGTGTTTCTAGCAGCTGGGCTTCTCTGATTACGGTACAAAAACAACTTTATAATTTACTGATTTTGGCAAAACTGGAATATATTTTATGGAGAAAATATTTTCTTGGTTTCCTGTTGATGTCCTCCGGCTGCTCTGACTCAACTTTCAGTGATTTGACGCCAGCTAGTTAGCTCAGTTAGCCAAGCAGCTAGCCATCCAATTAGCTGACTCTGCCTGGACTGGAACCTTGGTGCTCCATGGGTGTGTTGGTGTTTACAACAACTCTAGTACAGGAGCTTTATACTGCAGGGAGAGCCCAGTCAGCTGATAACGGCAGCTACAGTTAGCAGCAGCTAGCGGTTCATCAGGAAGCTCACAGAGTTGAGGCAGAGCAGCTGGAGGACATCAGACATCATAACCGTAAAAGCACTTTCTGAAAGGCATACTGAACAACCTGTAATTGTAGCTCAGCAATGGAATGACTGCTCGGTATTGGACGGTGGAGCTGAGAGCGGTGTATTCAGTAAGTGTTCAGTGGGTGTGTACGTTTACTGTGCTGAAGGACGGGAGGAGGTCATTTTTGGTTTAAAAAACTTGAAAAATTGCATTTTGCATAATATGTGACCGTTAATTATTTATGAGGTTGTTATAGGACACCTATCTACAATGATCAGCAATCAAATATCCTTGTTTTTTTCCTCATTAGTAAAGTACTTATGTAAAGAAATTGTATCATGGAAAATATGTGTATTCAAACTTACATATATATTTGAGTAAGGGTAAACTTGATAATTAGCTAGCTTTGGTGGTAGCCATATTTTGAATGCTGGAGAATGCCAGGCTAGTCTTTATGCTAAGCTAACCAGCTGTTGGCTCCAGCTTTATATATACAAGAAGCGGTATCCATGTTCTCATCTAGCTCTCCGCAAGAAAGTGAAATTAGCATTCCCAAATTGTCAAACTATTCCTTTAAAAAGGTGTTCGTGAAGGTGGCCGATTAGGATTCCCACTGCACCCCTCTCTATGAAGGTAAAGCATATTCCCAAAGGGCCCTACAAATCAAGGCCTCAAGGCCGTTTGTGGCCAAATTAGATACCCTCCCTAATAAGATGGGATCAACAGGTTGCCTCATTAAAGATACTTGTTTCTCCCATGGGGCTTGAGGGCCATTTGGTCGAATGGAAACTAACAAACACTAAGTCCCACAATCATTGCAGGGACATTCTCATTCTCAGCTGCCCTGCTTCCTGTGGAAAGTTTTTTTGTTCATATTTAAAGGAAATGTTACTGGACATGTGAGAAAGGCCTGCTGAAAATAGCTTGTGACAGACCAATAACGCACCGAACAGTCATCTGCCTTTTTTTCCTTCTCACCAATGACGCACAAACAAGGTCTGTGCGAGATGTGTGTGCTTGTGCCAGTGTTAAAGAAAGACCGAAAGAGAGGTTATAGTGTGTGTTGCTGTATTGAGTGAGTGAGAGAGTGTGTGTGTGTGTGTGTGTGTGTGTGTGTGTGTGTGTGTGTGTGTGTGTGTGTGTGTAACTGCATAAAACAGCAAAACCCCTGTGAAAGGCAAAGGTGCATCTGGGGAATCCAAACAACCCAAGCTTTCAGCCTCAATGTTTTCTGAGGCACATTTCAGAAATAGGGGTTAGATGCAGAGGCACCGTTTTCATAAGCTCCACTATACCTCTGCGTCACACCGCGCCATTCCCTTCTCTGCTTCACCCTCAACACTCACAGCAGTTTAGACCATTTTCTATGGCCTTGAGCTCTGAGCTGAGACAGAAAAGCAGACAGGAAGACAAAGAAAGTGCACCTACACCCACACATATAGGCACAGCATCAAAATAGAGCAAGAAAACACAGGCATCCAAAATTACAAAACGGAAAAATACACATTTTACTCCTCAAATGTGAGTCAAAAGATGGGGGAGAGGAAGACAACGAGACCACAAAGGAAGGGGAAGGAGGGAGAAAGGATAAGCGAAAGAAGGTCTTGATAATCCTTAGTGGGAGTGGGTGAGACGGGTGAGGGGTCAGCCGAGCAGTTGACAGAAAGAGAGTGAGTGTGTGGAAAGAGCCAGAACAAAAACAGGACCTGCGCCAGAACTCCTCAACAGTGAATTACAAAATACCGCCTTAGTGAGGAGCGCTAAACCCTGCCAGGCTGTGCCAGCCATGAAGCATGTGTGTTTTTCGCACTAACTGTTCTTCACCAGCAAAACAATTTACACTAATTACACTAAACAAAGAGAAGAAAATGAATCGACACCATCTTTGTTGATTGGGCGCTTTTTGGGAATACGTGGCCTAGCAGCGCAAAGACGTGCGTGTGTATGTGTGTGTGTTTATGTGGGGGAGAGCGCTGCCATGTCTCTTGTTGAATTCTTCAGCTAATTAGCTACAAACTTCTCAGTGCAGCCAAATTTTGCAGATTAACACAAAACACAAGGAGGAAGTCACTTAAATATTTGCAAGCTGCAGGATTTCCAACCTGATCTTCCATTATTGTGTGGGTTGGTTCAATTGGGGCTAACGTTGTCAAAATCTTCATTTGACCATCATTAGCCCCAATTAGACTACTTCAAACAAATTTAGAGGACTGTGGTGGAAAACCCAAGCAATTATTCTCCTTTTTGAACAGTTGTTGCACAATGAAGTTGAGACAGAGCGAGTGGAACAGAAACATAGCGACAGGCTAGTTTGGAGACCTCTGTTCCTATGGAGCATTTTAAGTAATTACAACAGGTTGGCATAAGAGAGACGGACAGAGAAAGATCAAGAAACAAGAAAGAGCAAGAGGGTGAGTGAGGAGTGAATTCGCTGTATGGCCAGGTCCTAATTGAGCGAAAGGTTTTGATGCAAGGTTCAGAAGCAGCAGAACCTTGCCTCACGATCCTATCAATTATTACACCGTACACTCATCGCTCTTTTATATTCAGTATGTTCCACGGTTTGACACGATAATGAGAGTGAGGGGATGACGGAGCTTAAAACCTAGCTAATTCTCCCTAACCTTTCAGGAATCTCACACAGCTGTAATTCAAACACAGAAGGACAAATGGTTTACTGTAAAACTGTCTTCTATCATACTGGACGGATTATTGTAATGTATGTGCACGCAAGTGTGTGTCTGTGCTGAGAGGGCAAAGCATTCACCTATACCTAATGACCCTCATCCCTCTCAGGCAGCCAATTACAGCGCTGGGTGTTAGCGGCCGGCCAGCCCTCGCCACTCGTTACCAACCCAATATGTGCCGTGGCCTTCTGCCCTCTCCAATTAATTCAGCAAGGATGGAGGCAAGGAGGGATGGAGAGAGGAAGGAAAGGCATTAGGAGGTAAAAATAACTCACCCAATTACCACAGCCAAGGGGTAGTGGCAATGCCCTGGCAATAACGTTGCGCTTATAGGGGGGAGAGGGGCAAAAGCTCTAAGCGAACGTTCCTACACATGCGGCACTTTATGCGTTTTTTCTCCACATACTGTATTACACTAAGTATTTCAAAGAACTTAAGAATTAACTCAGAGTAAAAAAAAAAATCAAATCAAGAAAACACACCAAATCCCATTAAGTATGAGAGAAAATGGATTTGTTTTGCACCTACAATGAATAACCTTAACCTGGTAAGTGCTGAGCAAAGGCCTACTCTGAATATTCAAGCCATGCTTCCAATTATACTTTCTTTCAAAGCTTTCCAACCTCTTATTGTGTGAGTCAGTCACTCCACTACGCTCTAAAAGAAACCAGACAAGTAAAGGTGGCCTCTACTTCTATCTCCAAATCCATGTCCATTCAACAGTTTAAGACGCTCTAAAAGCATGCAGGCAAAGACTGTCTCGTAGAGGTAGTTGGGTTTCAAAGAGCACACACACAATGAGGACAAAAGACTTGATTATTTTAAAACATCAGAGAGGCCAAGGCCAGTGAGGAGCTATG